CGACCACGGAGAGAGAGCAGGCTTTACGTGGCGGGGGGCAACGGGAGGGCGAGATGTGGCCCCTGGAAGGTGTCCCGGTGCTGCTGGGGCAGAGGCCAGGCACGAGGCCCGTGTGGTCAGAGCAGAGGGGAGGTGGAGGGGCGAGCGAGGCCCCAGAGCCAGGCTCGGGGGTCGCGGTGCTCTGCAGGCCCGGAGAGGCATCGAAGTTTCTTGAAAGAGGGGACGATGGTGTGGTGAAGGGGGTGTCTGGGAACGCCTGCTACATTCGGCACGTGTCGAGGGGGTGTCCTGGAGCCCAGATGCTGTCACATCAGGCAGACCGGTGCCCAGTGCGGGCGGCTCCCTTTCTGGCACTGGCGACGGCTAGCATTAGGGATCCTGCTCTGGGTCAGGTGCTGCCGTAGGCTCTCTGCCTGTCACCTGATTGGTGCTGAGGCAGGAGTGGATGCTGTGATGCTAGCTCCATTTTGCAGGTGCAGAAACCAAGGCACACATCTTCAGGAACTTACCCAGATCTTACAGCTTGTCACCCACAACACAGCTGTGATCTGGGGCTTTGGGGGCCCAGGCTCTGCTTCCCGTGTGCTTCACTCCACTTCTAAGTCTGTAAGAGAGGGGATAGAAGTGGATAAAAACTGTGTGAAAGCAAGCTTGGTGTTACCTGTGTTCACAAGAAAATGCCAGTGCAAACGGGCCGAGTGGTAATCGCGCACGACGGCCCGCCTCAGGCAGCCCAGGCCTTGGGCGGAGGGCTTGCCAGCAGGAGCCGGCCCCCCGGAGGGGGTGGTAGTCAGTTGAGCTAAGAAACGTGCCCGTTACTTTACCCAGTGACCCTATTTCTGCTATGTCCTAAAGAAGTGGTAGAAGCCGTACAAAGTAGTAAACGTACAGACTTGCAGCAGGAGTATTAGGGGGACCTGAATCTCCGTTACCGGGGAGTTGACTAGACTGGACGGCATATGCGCACAGTGGAATCGTGCGCAGCTTTGGAAAAGGGTTGTTGTAGGCGGAGGATAGCCAGGTTACAAATGCCTAGAATTCGTCCCGCTTTACACGCTTTCCTGGCAAGAGCCGCACAGACGAGCACAAGGCCTGGTGGGCCGGGTGTCACTTCCACATTCACGTGGGCACCTTAGGGTGACGGCTGATTTTTACTTCCTTGTATTTTCTTAGGTAGTCTGAGTTTTTGTTTGTATAAAAACGGATCTATTTCCATTTTCCTTTTAAAAAATACAACTTAAGGAAAAAAGTGCTTGGTAGCTGAGTGATAAGCAAGTCGCAGGAGGTGGAGACCGAGGGTGGCCCTTGGTGGGAGGCTGAGGTCGTAATTTCGGGCTGATCTTCCGTGGCCGCTGAGGGATAGGAGACGAGCGTAGGAAGTGTGGCAGGAGTGGGGTGCTGTCCGGCTCTGAGATGCAGGAGGCAGAGACGCTCGCTGTGGGACAGGAGCGCATCTGAGCAGCAGTGCGCCTGGGCGTCCGGGGGCTGCCGAGCCCCGCTCCCTGTGTCCGCTGGTGATGGTCAGGGCACGTAGGCAGCCCACAGTGAGCTGTTTTCCATTAGCTGACCGCCACACGGCACCTTTGCGAATGTGTCAGTTTCTCACCACCTGACCGCTGGTGGGGAAATGTCTGCAGACGTGTGGCATGCTGAATGTCTCTGGACTCTCCCATTGTTTTCACTGTCTAGACCCGGGTCCCCACTTCACAGCTGCAGGCTCAAGGGCAGATGCAGGCCCCGGCGCCCCAGCCGGCCCAGGTGGCGCTGGCGAAGCCCCCGGTGGTGTCGGTGCCCGCAGCCGTGGTCTCCTCGCCGGGCGTCACGACGCTGCCCATGAACGTTGCTGGGATCAGTGTGGCCATCGGGCAGCCGCAGAAAGCCGCAGGTGCCTGTCTCGTGCCACCCCCCGCCCCC